CCTTTCCAGTGCCTCCCCTGGTTTTTCTCAGCCTTGTGCTTCAATGGCTGAAGCATCCCCGATGGTTCCCTGTTACTGGGCTGCAGCACAGGATTCCCTCACTGCACATGGCTGCACTCTGGAGCACAGGAATCTCTGTTGGGGCTGGACACAGCCTGAGCCTGCGCTGGCTGCTGGCTGGGCCTGCAGCTGTGGGGCTTGTGGTTTGGGTGCTGGCAGCCCCTGGCCTCACACTTGCTCTGTGCAGCTGTGGTTCCAAGAAATACAGTGCACTGGAGACCTGGCCACGGGGGAGAGGTGATACCGAGAACCTGTGAGAACACCAGTGGTGCTGGGGGCATGGGGAACCGCAGCTGTGGTGGGAGGGTGAGGCCCAGGGGAAGCCGGAGGTGTGCACAAGGGTTTGCTTTCGCTCAACAGAGAAGATAGAGGGGGAAGAGAAACCCCAAATAAACGACAGTGTGAGCTTAGGGTGAATCTGGCAGTGAAGCAAGACTTCCTGGAATCGTGAGGTGAGAGTGGCTTGGCTGAGAGACAAAAGCTTGAGAGCCTCTTGAGTGCTGGAAATGGCATGGGAAGCAAATATTTGTGTGCCCCGTACGTGGAACCGCAGGTAATCAGAGTCCCAGAATGGTCAGGGCTGGAAGGGACCTCTGGAGATCACACCGTCCAACCCCCTACCAAGGCAGGCCCACCTAGAGCAGGTGACACAGGAACGTGTCCAGGTTGGTTTGGATGTCTACAGAGAGGGAGACAACACAGCCTCCCTGCTCCAGGGCTCTGCCACATGCAACAGACACAAGTTCTTCCTCATGTTGAGGTAAAACTTGCTGTGTTTTAGTTTATGGCCATTGCGCCTCACTCTGTCCTTGGGCACCACTGAAGAGTCTGGCACCATCCTCTTGGAGCCTGCTATTTTAATTAATGAGATTAACTTTTCTAGACTAAGTACACTAAAAGATGTAGTCTTTTCAAGGTCTTCCTTTGCTAGTCAGGACTGAATATCCTTCTCTCTCCCAAGGATGTCCTGCATTTTCCACTGTAGATTTTTAAATTATCTTCTGTCAAAGACACAGAGGGTCTGTAGCTTTTCCCCACTCTGTTTTGTGCTAAGCAACCAAGTGTCAGTCCCTGAAAACCCATCACTTGATGCCTGTGCCACCTTCAGCCCAGTGCAGTCTGAAAACCCTTCCAGATACTTTGCCTTGCACCTCACTTGCCCCCCTCATGAATGCACAGGTTTCAGAGGTGGCTGGGACTTACACTCCTGTGTTTGTGCACCAGGCTCCAGGTTAAGAGGAGTTCTGCCAGTACCTGTACCACTGGTCAGCAGGGTTTTTAGTGTAGACTGTGTTGTTATTGACAATAATGACTCATACTGTGAGCAATAATTTGAGTTCTAGTGACTCCACAATTAAGCATTCATCCTACCCAGTGGTTGGAATGCTGTGGGTGAATATGGAATGGGGTCACATTTCTAAGATACTTTTTTAATTTATGATTTTACTTGCTCCTTAATACAGCTCTTTGTTGTTGGTTTTTTCTTTTTTTTTAAAATTGTGTTTACATTTTTAGCTGCAAGAGTAAACAAACAAACAAACAAAAAACCCCAAAACAATTCAAGAGCAGCCAATCACTATTTCTTTAGATATTGTAGACAGGACATCTGAACAAGCTGACTTGTTCTACAGGTTTTAGAGACGCTCACTGTCAAGTCTTTGTTTTCTCCAAAATTAACACTTTTCTGTAGTGAGGGACATTCCTCTCCAGGATGTATTGACTATATATTGAACCCTGTAAATGGTGTGAGTGACAATAAGCCCTGCTGAACAGCCTGCCAGTTCAGTGTAGAGTGCCAGGTCCCGCAGAATTTACCTAACACATTCCAAGGGTTAATCACCAAGGCTGCCAAAGTGTTTTCTCTTCTATCCCAGTGGAATTTCTGTCATTTCATCTCCAACCTTTAAAGCTGGTGATCAAACTGATGGTTAAAATGGCTTTTATGCATTAGATGGTTGTGCTCTGAATCTGTTCAGTTGGGAAGACGTGGGGTATCCTTGCCCAGCCTTTGGCCAGCTGCTGTTCCCAGTGTTTCTGTCTGGGACTGGCATCACTTTAACACCATCAACCCCTCTGTTGCTCTTCCCTGCTGTGGTTCCAGTCGGATTCCAGTGCAGAGGTTGGGAACACTTGCAGGGTGTTTTGTAGTCTCTGTGAACACTGTAATGCTTGGCCAGAAATACATCATCTCCCAAGATGAGATTTGAAAGGGGTTCTGCAAAGTGCTGTAATTTATCAATTTCCAGTGGTGATATTCTGGAGATGGTGGTGTGCTTGGAAAAGCAGATTTTCACTGAATCATTTGCTAGAAGATGAGAAATACTGAGAAGGATCTGATGAAAGTGGTTTCAAAACAATTTAGCGTAATTTAATCATTCCTGTTTTCTGAGAAGGAAGCCTAGTGGCAATGGCAGTGGGATGACTGGACATGCTCTGTGTCATGGTTACTGGATTTTCCTGGTTCTTTGCCAGTTAGAAAACACCATCATCTTTGCTTGTCAATCAAGTTGAATAATTATGGAAATAATTATTTTATTGTAGTGAGATGCTAATGTCTGGAAAAAGATGTCATTTCTTTAGGTTGTCACTTTATTTTTAATATCTTTTAATTTGGTACTATTATGATAAACATGCATATTATGAGAGAACCAGCCCTTGCCTCGGTAAGGAGCATATGAAATAACCAGGACAATGAGACAAAGAGGGGTTGGGAAGCAGGATACAAAGCCTGAGGAATACCAAGATCCCATTTCATTTGCACACGTGGTGAAGACTGAAATGGGCCATATTTAAATAGGAGCTTTGGCAAGCACTGTAAAATACTTTCACTGTGGAATGTGTAAAGTAGACATTCCATCAAAAACCATCAAGCTTGAAATTGCTAATGACAAACCTTAAGGAAGTTAATAAATGCTGAGAATAGTTCTAGTGTATGGAAGTCACATTTGGACATTTGTAATCAGTAACTTGTGCTTCTCTGGGAACAGATGGTTCTGAGTTACTGCGGAGATTTCCTGGAAATATTTGTAAGTGTCCAGAAATGGCTGGTATTTCAGAGTGATTTAATGGCCAAGCAGAACTTTTTGGGTGCCTCTTGGAATCATCAGCACCTGCTTTGCCAAACCAGCTGTGGTTCCAGTCTCTGGCTGTCTCCACTGCCAGTGTTCTCAGACTGATTCATCTGGAGCTGTTGGCTGAATGGCCAAAGCCATTTTTACACAAAAGTGGGTAGATAAGGTGTTTTATTTTTCCCTGTAGCTGTCTGATAGTCCTCTAATAGTTTCCTACAGGCTGGGGGCCTGTGAGAATGTTTTCATCCATTGCTGTCTAGGAGAGCAATGCCAGAGCAGCAGAGAGCAAGACGTGATTTTGGAGGCTGTGAGCAAAATCCTGTATGGGAGCAATGCCAGTAATGACACAGTGACCGGGGCAGGGCATTGTGGTGTGACTGCTCATCCCTGGCTGGGGCTCCTTAGGTATCAGTCACCAAACTCACCTTTGCAGACTGACTCTTTCCTGCTCAGCAAATGAAGATGTGAGAGAAAACAATGAAAACAACAAAGTGCTTGTTGCTAGAAAGCCCCTGAAGGCCCCACATGGCTGTGGCTGTGAAAAGGAGCCTAAAGAAAGACAAGGCAGGTGTGCCCTGGCCTGACATGAAGGATGACCAGCAGCAACAGATATCTTCATCAGTACTGCAGCTTTGCACAAGGCATCTGCTGTGCTGCACCCCATGTTGGGTGATGGATCCAAGGCTTGTGCCCTAATGTACAAGCCTGCCCAGTTCAGGCTCCTGACAGAGGCCACTGTAAAGCAAAGAGAAGCTGACCTGCCTGCTAGGCCTTGTTGCTTTTAAATGTTCCTGCTTATGCCAAGAATGTGTGAGATTCGTTGCTAAAATGGCAGGCAGGTTATTTTCCTGGTAATGGATTTCATTTTGACCCGTTGGCAAAATCGAGCCAGTTGTTTTTTGTTAAACTTTGCAGGTATGGAGGAGAGATCCAAAGCAGATCTCTCAGGTGGAGTATCCCAGCCGTGGTGGGAGTGCCTTGGGCAGCAGGGCCTTGTGTTGCTGTGGGACTGCAGGGACCTCTGAGCACCTGCTGAGCTGCTGATGAACTCAGGGTATTCGTGAGGTTTCTGTCTCAGAGTTTTCTGCAGTGAATAACGAGGGAGGTTCATGCTGCAGTCTGAGGGAGGCTCATGTGTGTTTTCTCTTGGGGCTGGTCACTTATTTTCACAGACATGGAAACCCTGGAGACCCTTCCTGCTGTGTTGGATTTTACATGACATTGGGAAGGGATTTAACATGACAAGAGAGTGATGGGAGGGAGGAGGCAGCAGTGACAGAGATACATGCAGATACAGGAATATGGATGAAAATCTTTTCCATGTGACTTTATACCAATAAAACATAGTAGGAGTCCACAATCTGAAATCCATGCAGGGAGCTGCTCATTTGGATCACTTAGTAATGCTCTGCCTTTGCTTTTCATCTGCAGGTTGGATTATTGGTTTAGATGCTGTTAGCAGCTCCTCCAGATCACATACCCTACTGAGACAGTGTAGAAATCTTAACTTTTGATGCTTGCAAATTCTGAAAGCTGAAATTCTGAAGTAAATAAAATGGTGTTGCAGAAGATAATGTGCTCCAGCTGTTTGGTTACTGCTGTTCCCAACAGAGCAAGAAGATTTCAGAGGATCTGTGGGAAATTGTATCCTGAGGATTTGGTTACTAATCAAAGCACCCTGTGGGGCAGATGGAGCTGAAGTGACTTCTGGCACGTCAGTTCCACTGCTACCATCTGTGGTTTTAAAATTAGCAACAAAATACATTTCACTGGTACACAGTCGAGAAATTGAAACTTCAGTCCTCAGATCACAAAGGTGTGTGAATCAAAACAGCTCCCTTAGTAATTTTATTTGTTTGTTTTTGTTAGGATCTCGTCTCTTTAGTAGTGGAGGAAGAATCTCAGAAATGTGCAAATTCAGGCCCCTGCTTCCCCATTCCTGTTCCTCATCCTGTGATCCTGGAGGTCGGCTGTGGCTCTGGAGCAATCGCTCTGAGCCTGCTGAGCAAACTGCCACAGGTGAGCTTTCTTCAGATGCCCGTGCTAGAGGAGAGCCCCACTCTGCTCATCGGCACTGAGATGTCACCGACTTCTCTGATGGGATTTGGGCAGTCAGGCTCTGTGAGTTCATACTAGGGAGAGGAGGGATATTTGGGAATTGCTCTCCCCAGCTGTCTGCAGGAGTAGCAGAGGCATAATCAGAATGGAAAAAGTGAATGTGCTCGTTCTTCAGCTGTCACAGCTCACTTGGCTTGGAGCACTGGTGGGTGTTGGTTTAAGCTGATCACCTGGGCTGAGGGCAGGAGGCACTGAGACATGGGCACACTCTCATTAGTTGAATTTATGGGGCAGTCATCTCTAAAAATCACCTTGCTGTGAACCAAAAGATCTTGTCTCTAGGAGACTGGAGACTGAATGAATCCAGGGAAGGGCTTACCATAGCAGTGTCAGTACTTGGGATCAACATGACAAGCGTATGTCACTGTCACCACTGCCAAACCACCTTTTACAAGTGTTTTGTTCCCTGGTAACAACCCACAGCTTCTGAACAGAGTGAAAAGAGCAGGAAGGGACTGAGGTCTGGGTGACCAAAGGCCTTCTTGCCCCTGATTCTTGTGGCATGTGACATGTTTACTGAAACACTCCTGGTAAAGAAAATGAGAAGTGAGTCCAAGATCTCACTGCGTGTGCTTAAGGGGAAAGTATTCCCCTTTCCTCAGAACTGCAGACCAGCCAGTTCCTTCTCATGAACAAGAATTGCTGTGGCCAACCCCTCCTCCTGTAGAAGTGTAAACCTGGCTGTGTAAAAATTAGGTGTTGATGCTGTATGGGAGGAGTGTTCCCTCCTCCCAGTGCCCTGAGAAGGTTAATACTGGATTTTCATGACTTCAAAGTATAATTGGTCTGATTTCCTGAGCTAGGAGAAGAGCTTCATGGTCTTTTCCTTGCTTGTTAAGTTAAAGAGCTGTGTCAGTCTGTCCCTGTGGCTGATAAAGTCCTTTCCCAGCACAAACAAATGTGCCCCGAGAAATGAGGAGCCTTGACTGATTAGAATTAGCGGTACCCACACTGACAGCTAAGTGGAGTTTACACTGTGTGATCTCCGTAGTGTTTGAGGCAGAATTTGGCACTAGGGTACTGAGCAGACAGCAGCAGCTTTTAATTTATGGACTCAGCTCTGTCCTTCACCTTCAGGGTCAGCCTCTCTTGTGTGGGTTCTAGCCTGGGGCTGTGAAATTAATTCCCTCAGGCATGATGGCAAATCACACCATCATCTGCAAATGATTGCGTTTCTGCAAGTTTCTTCAAGCATGTGTTGTCTGTAAATTCTTGCCAGTATCTATGCTTAAAAAGCATTAAGCAAAGCAAAACCAAGTTAGGCCGTTGCCTGTGGTTTTCCCAAGGTGGAATGGAAGGTCAGACAAATCTCTTAGCTGTGTGGCCCTGCCTCTTAACATGTTGCTGGAGAACTCTCAAATACTTGACACACAGTCAAGTACGTGCAGTCAATACAGGCAGTGAACGTGGTGTAAGGGCTGCAGTGGAGCAACTAGGTAAAAGGTGTCTGCCTAACAGATGGAAAATTCTAGAGCCTCTGTCCAAGTGGTTGTGTTGATGCTGGGAGGGATTCTGTCTGCATTAGAGAGGAGAAACCTTCAATGTGATCTTCCTTCAGCCTGTGTCTGCCCCAGAGCAGCCAGTGCTGAGTCTCACACTACCAGGAGCTGTGAGCACGTCAGGTAATGTGAGTCAGTGTGGCTGTTGCTGTCAGCTCAGAGCCTGTCTGTTTTGGTGGCTCCTGGCTGTGGTGCAGAGTGCCTTTGGTCACATCAGTGCCTTACTGGACGTGACTCACGATCCCAGCAGTGCCCCAGATACATTCCTCATGAGCTGTTCCTTTCAGGAGCCAAGATGAGCTGTCAGTTGTCAGTTTTGATCTTGCATGTTTGGCAGAGCTTGGGAACCTTGCTGTTGTAACACGTGCTTGGTGGGGTTTGTTGGGTTCTTTTCTGTCCCAGAGCCAGGTCATAGCCGTGGATAAAGAGGAGGCCGCTGTGCATCTCACCAGGGAGAACGCACACAGGTACAAGACCACCTATTACTCATTTTTTGTAAATTGTTATTTGAGAAAGACCATGTACATGTAGTTCATTTTTATCACCACTGGAAACCAGAGAATGTTTGGTTGAGCTCCTAAAGTGTGTAATAACTGAGGAAAAATTGCTTATGTTTACCAGAGTATTTTTTCTTTGACTTGTGAACATGCTTTGTAAAGGCAGCAGCCTCAATAAAGCAACAGTACTTACACACTGTTTGTTGTCAAGGGTTTTCAAAGTGTTTCTTGGTAACTCCTTTTATCCCTTTCTGTGAACTCAGGAAGCTCAGGGCAGCAGGAGGAACGTTTATGTCACTTGGGACTGAAGGACAAGTGTAGCCTGAACCTCTCTCCCTCTGGCTCCCTAGGTCACTGTTGCTGTGCTTGTGTCTGTCCTTGCTGCTCTAGAAATAAGCTTGCTCGCTCCAGTACCACTTTTCCTCTGACGTGCTCTGAGTGTGGCCTCCCTCAGGATCCTCCTGGCAGTCTTGGTTGGGTGGGAATGGTGCTGCTGGGCCCCATGCAGTTTGGGCACCTGGATGTTCAGAGCTGCTCAATCAAACCCGTGTGCCTGAAATCAGGGCAGATGCCTGTCAGGTTGACCTTGTCCTTCCTGGTGGCTCCACTTCCTCAGCTGGTTCTTCTGTCAGGCTGTTCTGGACTGTCCCTACCACAGGGAGCTCCAGAGCTGGAATCCCGGAATGCTTCTGAGTCCTGGATCCCAGTCCCTGTAGACATTGTGAAAGGTGCAGAGCCCCAGACTGCATCCATGTCCTCAGTAACTGCTGGGCCCTTGGCATTAATTAGAGCCATATCACAAAGAATTCCTATTGCTCATGGAGTCCATGAGTCTTAAGAGGTGCTCATGAACTGGAATTTCTGTCCACAGGGCCCCCATACCCTTTTTTCCCAAGGTGCTGCCAGCACTGGGGCTACAGAGACAGGATACCTCTGGTTCTGGCTGCACTGAGCTGTATTTCTTCACTTCTTGCAACCCAATCCCAGCTCACAGTGAGCCTGAAGAGATGTGTAGGAACAAGCCCTTCCCAGACTTGTCACCTCACTGTCACCCTTTGCCTCCTAGCCCAGTTACACAGAATGGGGAGCAGAGGTTTCCTTCTGATGTGCCAGTGTCGAACCAAGTTCTGTTGCAATTTTTCATAGATATAATAAAAGCTGGCCAGATCTTTGCCTCCTTGGTGGATTATTGCTCTGTCATCTGGGAAAAATTGTCTTGCTTATTTAACATTGCTAGTTGGCCTTAGAGTGCACGAGGGAGTGTAAATACCATGTCAGAGAACCTCGTATTTCTCCATGGATATTTTCATTGCATCCTTAAGATCTTGTCCATGGCGTGGTGCCCTGTAGCTCTTGGGAGAGGAGCCAGCAGGATCAGCTGTGTCACTGCTTGAGTGAACCCAGCTTGGATCCTGCCTGCTTTTCAGAGCTCCCTTATCCTAGCTGTGTTCTCCAGATGCTTAGGTGAGTGTTACTGTCACTGAATCAGTCCTGGTGCCAGATGGTCCATCTGGGCCCAGTGCAGGAATCCCTCCCTTTCCTGATGCCCGTGTGTGCTGACAGGGCAGCTGTTGCTGGTCTGGCAATGGCATCTTGTGTGGGAGGCTTGGAGTCCTGACCAGCCTGGTCTTTCTGCCTTTGCAAAGTACTTCCTCTGGCATTGTTCAGATGTCTTCACAAGGGCCAGAGGCAAAACTGGAGAGAAAAGAGAGGTGTTTTGATGGGTGGACCACGTGGCTGAGGAATTAGAAGTTCTGTTCCTTTCTTGCTGTGTCATTCTCCCTGTTTCTGTGACCTCTCCTGTAGTATCAGGCTGTCACCAAGCCCAAGCTACTTTCAGACTGGCCTCTCTTTCCTGTCCCAGGAGCATCAAGGGAGCTTTGCTCAGGATTCCTAAGATTTAAGGGGATCACTGTCTCAACTATTTTCCCCTGGCTAGGAGAATATAGAGGAGCCACACCCTGGAATCACCATGGGTGCCCAGTGTGCTCTTTGCTTTGAATTTGGTTCCTCAAGCAAAGAGCAGGTCCTAAATTTCCCTTGAGGGGAATCCAGTCAGTGGGGTGGGATGTAAGTGTGTCAGATAAGAGGTGCAATACCTAATGATCTGTTTGTAGAATGTACTGTTTGTGAATCCACACAAACATGCCTCCTAATCTTTCTGTTCTTGCATCTGGAATTTTACAGGCTGCAGCTCCAGGAGAGGATTCACATCATCCACCAAGATGTTTCACACAGTAAGTCTTCTCGCTGTTACAATCCCCTTTGTCTTTCTCCCTTTTCTCTTTGGTGGGGAGGCATGTGTGACACACCCAAGGGATCCCTCTGGGGTGCAGGTGGCAGGAGGGTGTTGAAGTTAAGAGAGAAAAAGGTCAGTAAGAAGTGAGCCACTGAAGCTTTTCCCTTCAGAATGTTCGAGGCCACGTGAGCAGCTGAATAAAGTCCCTACCTACATATCAGAAGGTGAATTGTTCCTGATTTCAGGTGTCCAAAGGTTGTGTCTGAGCTGGTAGCACAGGTGCTCTTTGCTGTTACAGGGGAGAGACAAATATATACAGGTTTTAATTCATTCCATGCTGACATGGATGCTTTAGATAAACATGTACATGCCTGTCCCTCCACTGATGTTAGAGGGAGCCCATATATTTAGCTTAGATTAAAATACCCAGCCTTATTCACCTGAAATTAGGTGAGTTGACCCGGGGAAGGATACTTGTCTTGCCCAGACCTGGCTGAGACCAGTTAAAACTGACATTTGCTGAGGCTTATGCAGTGAGTCGATGTTGACCCTGAGCTGATAGGGAAGATGCCACAGTTCAGAGCTGGTTGTGATTCTTCTCTTCCAGGTTCTGCCGAGCAGCTGCTGCTCTGGGGCCCCATCGATGTCCTGGTCAGTAACCCCCCGTATGTTTTCCATGAAGACTTGGCTTCCTTGGACGCAGAAATCCTCCGGTAATCAGACAAATGGATTTGTCCTCTCTTGTTCCTCTGAGCAAGATTTTCTGTCTGCTTCCTTGTGCTACACACAACTGCCCACAAAACATGCAAATGCAGTATACATGGGCAAAGTGTGGGTGTGTTTATGTGGTACATAATAATTCAGTGTTACTTTGATACTGCTTACAGGCCTGAAGCGGTATCAAAGTATTTTAAATACTCATTAAAATGGAAAACACACACACTTTGAAACCAACAAATTCTCAATCCAAAATTGTTTCAGGGCATTTTTCCTCTTAGACTTTTTTTTTAATAATTGGTGTAAGATCATGAAAGAAAGAGTAATCTGAGCAGCTTTCTGTGATGGGTGGAAATGCTGCTACCCATTCTCATCCCAATACATGTCTTAAAAAAAAACAAACCAACAGAATAAGCTCTTTTGGGATGTGGAACTAGTTTTTGTGTGCTGGTTCTTCCCCAGACTTGATTGTCTGCGTGTCAGGACAAAGTCCTGCCCCCAGCTCTGTCTGAGATGTGCTCCAGAGTTCTGCACCCCAGCTGGCTCTGCTGGGTTAGCAGGCAGCTGATGTGGTTGCTGGCTTGGTTGAGAGCGAGCAGTGATCCCTGGCTGTGCAACCCCTGCTCTCCCTGCCCAGCTCACACAGAACACACCCAGCTGCTGGAGCTGTGAGTCCCTGGCTGCAGCTGGCTCCTGATTTTCAGGCAGACTCCAGGGTATGTTTTCTGTGGGTGCTAAAAGTGGAGTTTCCCAGCCCAGTGGTAGCTGCTCTCTCACTCCCTGTATTTTTTCAGGAAAGCCCTGAGTGCTGTGCTCTGCTGTAGGAGCACTGGAGCTCAGGTGTGTTTGGTGCACCTTTCTCCATGGAGCCTGGGGTGATCCATTCTCAAGGGCCACATTAATTGCTGTTAAATGTCTTCTTTTTCCCACACTTCAGCTATGAGGACCTTGATGCTCTGGATGGGGGAGATGATGGGATGAGAGTCATCAAAACAATTCTGACTTTGGCTCCTTCTCTTCTGAAGGATTCTGGGTAAGCACTGCTCTCTCTTTGGATTTCATATCCTTTATCCATTCAGTTCTATAACTTCTGTACCTTCCTGTATGAAAACAAAGCAGAGGGAAAATAGTTGCAAAACTGTCCCATTTAATAATAGCACTTCAAAAAAGGTCAGGTGTATAAGCAAAATTCGCTTGGAATTGGTTAATAAAGGGGTACAGGCCTTCCTTGACTGGTGGTGCTGTGTCATGGTCATTAGTGAAGTGAGAACCTTTAAAGCTCAAAGCAGGAACAAAAAGAACATGGAGGAGAGTGCAAAAAGCAGGGAAACTTTCTAAGGTGAATAACTGATGGAAGGAGAAGCACTGGAGGACTCTGGGAGGATGGATGTAGATCTCTGTTCCCTCCCACCCTTTAATTAGGGGAAACTTGTTTATTGTGCCAGTTTACAATGCTGAATATCCCAGGAGAAAGAAGATCAGCCAGGGATGGTTTCTTAGATGTTAAATTTCTCCATGATTAGTATTCAAGACTGATTGTTCCTGTCCTCTATCATGTGGGATCCATTTTGAAGATCATCATGCTGATAACCAAAAGTCTGAATGCACTGTTCATGTGCCAGGGCATTCACACATCCTGCTGAATATTCCTGACGTTTGGCCAGCATAAGAGAGGTCGTTGAAAATCTGCTGTTCTGAGAAGAAGAATGGGAATATTGAGGGCCATCCTCCATGCAGAATTCATTCCTCATGCTTTACATGACCACAGGAGCAGAAGATGCTCCTCAGAACTTCCCAGCAACAGAGACTGGTCCCGTGGGCTTGTTTGTTAGGATTATTTCTTTTCCTTCCCTTTTTGCTCGTTTTATAAGATGGAAACCCCATTGAGGAGTGGAAGTTTTTTTAGGGTCAGAAATGAGATCTACACCCAGCTTGGTGAATTTGTAGGGAGTATTCAGTGTTGGATGTTTTAGGGGTTCTCAGGAGAGCGTAGGATGGGGCTTGGCCTCTGTCCTTTGCCTGTTGAAGTTGTATCTTGCTGTGCTGTCCCAGGCCATGACCAGCTCCATCCTCCATGTGCCTCTGAGCTGGGCTGGTTCTGCCCCAGCAGGGGAGGGGAGATGGGAAGTGGGCTGGTGTTGTAAAGCCTGGCAGAAATGGAAGTAGCCCTACAGTGCCCAGGCCTAGTCCTGGTGCCCTGGCTGATGAGTTTTGTGTAGGCCTGAGTGCTGGTGGTGTTTTCATGCCTGGGTTATGGAGACATTTACTGTGGGAGGATGTGTGTGCTGGCTTGTACTTCATGGCTCTGCTGCTTCCACACAGAGGAACTTCCTGCTGCCAGGTCAGTGCTCGGTGTCTGTGCATTTGCAGCATAAAGCTGCATTCTGGCCTTAAATCTTTGGGGGCTTCAGGGAGACATTGCTGGTGGTATCTCTGCATGGGCTTCAACAGGGCTCCTTACATCTTAATAAAAGGGTTTAAGTACCATGAGAATGCCCTCCAGGTTCAACACTTTCTCCCCTGAAGGAGGCAGTCGGGATATGCATCTAAAATGGACAGCTATGATCTGTTTTAGGATTGCTGGATTGCAGTGTTTTTACTGACCTTTTCATTTCCTACTGGTAGGAGTCATCCAGAGGGAAAGACCTTCATTTTTATCAGTTTAACAGCTTAAACATGTGCCTCTCCCTGCTTTCTACACCTGAACATGTCTTTTCAGGAGTGTGTTTCTGGAAGTTGATCCCAGACACCCAGATATGGTGGAGCACTGGCTACAGGCACACCCAAACTTACCCCTCACCCTCCGTGCCGTTCACAAGGACTTCTGTGGCAAGTAAGTCTTTTTTTACCATCAGATTTTTGCCTCAGGTGTAGGTCTGTGTCCTTTGTGGAATATGTCCCTGCACCCTGATGAGCTGAATGAACTCAGCCAGAGAGGGGCCACAGCTGAAGCCAGTCTATGACAAAACAGGGACTCAGCCTTCTGATGTCCTGAGACAGCCTGGCAGGTGTTTCTGAGTCACAAATTCTGACACAGGAGAGCATTTCTGATGGAGTGACAGGCTCTGGTGGGATTATTGCCATTGGAAAAGTGCTGCTTTTATAGGATAGATGTAGAGGCATCATTGTCCCTGAGTGAGACTTACAGTTCTGGTCATTCTTCTTGCCACAGGCCTCGGTTTCTGCACATCCAGAAACAAAGCAGATGACAACTGCAGCAGACATAACTCTCCTTGCAGGATGCTCTGTGCTCTTGAGCCCGGCTGAACAGCTTGTGGAAAACTCCTTTTGCTGGGTGAAAGGAATCTGCACTTCAGTCCCCTGTGTTGGACTCTCCATGCAGTGACAGACCCCTTCATTTCCCGATACAGACTTCACCCAGAGGTGCAGAAGTTCAACTGAGCATGTGGAAGTGTTTCACCTTCCTCAGGAAGCTTTTTAGTCTACTCTGCTAAAGTGACTCATTAATCTCAGCACCCAAGACAGAGTTCACAGCTCCAGATGTTTCATTAAAAATACAACTTCTTGGCATGCCAGATCACCCATTTGACCTAGAAAGGATTCCATTATTTTTTGGCCTTAAGATTCATTTATATAGAATGTGACCAGATTGGATGATAGGTTCAAATTCTGGCTTATATTGGCACATGGATTTGCAGGACATGACTGGCCTGCACATTTCAAATTCAGTTCTGTTCCAGGATCCTGATGCTCCAACAGTAAATCAGCTTTGTTTCCCACTCCTACTGAGTGACATGCCATTAAAGTATCAGTGCACACGTTACAGCACCTGATCTACAGCCCTTGACACTTGGTGGATGCTGCCAGAATCAGTCAAAACATTGTAATAAATATAGTGCTTCAGATCAGTGTCTTTACAGGAGTTGCTCTGCAATTATTCAGACCTGACAAAACACCTGGCACCCACACATTGCTCTGACAGTAATACAAATGCCCAGCCTCCATGTGAGGCAGTTACTAGCAAGACTTTACACAGAAAGCCAGAGTTGCTACTCCAGTTTTGCAGATGGAGAAGTTGGAAAACAGGAGGTGAAATGACTTTTACAAAACTTGACAGCAAGCTAAGTTTGGAGTAGGACTCAGTCTCTTGACAGCCATGGGAATAGCTGAGGTCTGTCTCTTCGGGAAGGATGACTCAGAGCAGGGTTGCCTGAAACAGCACTGAGAGAAGTCCCTGAAATGGACAGTCAACATCAGACATTATAAATAATGGCAGGATTAAATTCAAGCTGCTGCTTGCTGCTGCTGCTGCTGTTTCCAGTGTTGTAAGTTCCTTTCCTGACCATAGCTAGTGAGAGAAGGAAGGAAAGCAAGCAAAGGAAAGGATCTGCTCTGCCAGTCCAAGTGGAAGCAGTTGCTGGGCCAGTGGAGGTGAGCACTCAGTAGGGGTGGAAGTGTCCAGACAGTGACCCTGCAGTGAGTGTGTGCTGGGGATGTGCTGTCAGGCCCTGTCCAGGCTGCACTGGGACTGCACAGCCAGACACATTAGGCAGGAGATGCATCAGCAAGCTGAGTGTGTTGGGAACGCTGCAGCAGATTCAGAGGCATTACATGAGCACTAATACACCTCCCTTTCCTCTCTACCTCTTCCACTCTCCCTGCTCTTTCATTCCCCCTTAACTCCTGAACATTGGCCCTGCTTTCCCCCAGAGCCCCTGTGCTTGGGTCTCCAGCTGGATCCTTCCCACCCTCTGGGCTCTTACAGCTCTGTGCACTCACTGGTTTTTCCCTCATTGTGCCTTTCACACTGCATTTATCCCCCCAGGAGATAGCCATGGCCTGTACACTCTCTGTTTGAAACTGTGAGTCTGCTCTACTACTGTGAGTGTAGTTTGTGAGCCTGTAGTACCTGCCCTGGTCAAACATGGTAGAGGAAATCTGGGGGAGGAGAGAACTAAAAAAGGGCAGTTAAAGTGCACCTGAGCCTGGGTTTGGAAATAAAGCCTCAGCACAGCTGATCTCTGTTTTGATAGAGCCATGAGTACAAATTGTAGTCAAAGAGGTGTTTTGTTTGGTTGTGAATTTGTTTTTAACAGTAATTCGTGGTTATTTTTTATATTCAGTTTCTCAGACTCTGTTTGGAACTTAAGTTTAAAGAAATGGGTTCACAGATTTCTCCTGGGTGTTAGCAGTGTTCCTGTATGAAACAGGGCAACATGCACAGCTTGCTTTTACAGAGTGCCTTAGCAGCTGGGTCATGGGAGTGTAACACAGCATCATGCTTCATTCTTCAGGGGTTGGCTGTTTCCCTGCAGCAGGCTGCAGTTAGCTGACCCTCCCAGTGTGCTGGTGCCTGGGCTGGGGAAGGCAGTGTGCTTTTTCTTGGAAGCATCAATCAGTAACTTGTCCAAGCTCTGAGCAGAACAAATCCCCCGTGAGACAGACTGTTGGTCTAATCCAGTAGGGCAAGTGTTAAATTCCTATATTTATAGTAAAGCAATGGTGAAAATGCTTGCATTTCCATGGATTTGCATTGCATAGGGGTTATATGTCTTGGAAAATCCCATGGTGCTGCTGACCTTTTCCTAAAGGCGAGAGTGGAGAAAAATTGCTGTTCCTCCCAAGAGGCTGGATGTTCTTGTCAGACTCACATCCCATGGACTGTGCTGGTGTTGTACAGTGTGTGCTGCAGTGCTTCACACACGTTGGCCCGGGTCATTTTGGGACAGAAGAGCTCTTTGGAGGTGGTGGTTTCAGGGAGCCCAGGCCCCTCGCTGGAGCCCTGGGCTGTGTGTGAGCAGGAGGCTGAGCTGCAGAGTCCCTGGAGCCACGGGAGGCTGACGCTCCACTTGGCATTGAGTGAAATGCAGTGTCTGACGTACTCTGACTTTCCTGGGAATTTACTGGGCTTTTGGAACCGTATCGAAACGGTGATTTGATTCCCGCGGCGGTGCTTTCTGAGAGGGGCTTTGTTTGCTGTCTGTGTGCTCCCAGCGGTGTTTCGGGGTTACCAGGTGTGCGGGATCCGCTGGGGTAACTGCCCTGCCCCGAGGGCGAGGGGGGAAAGGCTCGCGGTTTGGCAGAGCCCTGCAGATGGAGCTGCGGGCCCGGTTTAGCTGTGTCCGTGCGGGAGAGACTCCTGCCTCAGCCTGCCCGCTGCGTGGGGAGCTGCAGACCCCGCTAGAGAGAGAACTGGGGTCAGCAGAGGGTGCAGTGTCGGTGCAGCTGCAAAGTGGGGCCCTACCCTCGGTTCCTGTGCCGGTGAAAGCTTCCACACTGCGCTTGTGTCAGCAAACTGGGAGGGGACTCACAGCTTGATGCAGGGCTGGGGTTGTACTTCAGGCTGTTAATGGGGGGCCTGAAGCCCCCCTAGGGCTGGAGGTCAGAGTGCCATTCTTGTTCTGGTGTAATGTCCACGTGAGCACCTTGAAGTGCCAGCTGTGCTTTCAGTGTCCACCCAAGATATGGGGTGAGAGGGACTTTCCCAGGGACCTTAGAGAGATAAAGAAGGGTGTTCATCCTCACAGAGGATAAACTACCTGTGGTCTTGTAGGAATGAGACTGCTGCCCCTGTGAGGCACTGACTGACAGGGTAACTCCACTGGGGGGACACAGAACATCTCTGAGGACCCAGATAACCGCCTGTGTGTGGATTACTGGCCAACACTCGATGTTCCTCAATGTAGGGCCATAGATCAAAATGGTTTGGAAGAGAGCTTGACAGTCAGCTAGCCCAATTTCCCTGTCCAAGTAAGCATCAACTTGCCTTACATCATTCCTGACAAATGTTTGCCCAGCCTGATCTAAAAGGCTCCCAGTGCTGATAAGGACTTCTGCATGCAATCTGTTTTGGTGCTTTGTTCTTCTATCTGCTGCAAAGTTATCCCCTGTAATGGCAGCTCTGTGTGATTAAAGGTGAGCACTTCTCCTGTCCTGAGGTGAACAGCTGCCTCTCTCCTTACAGCACCTTCCCTGTCTGTTCCTATGTTTCCTCAGTCTTCATTTCTGAGGGAAAGAATTCCAACACTGTGTTTCTGTCGGTACCTGCACATCCTTCTCTCCCTGCTCCTGAAATTTGAGGGAACCATGTGTTGCAGGTGATACTTGGGCCTCTGGTGAGTGCAATAACAAAGCTGCTAGAGCTCATCCTGTTATGGAGGAGGAGTCATTTCCCAAGTGAAGACTAAGCCAAAACTTGCATTAACATTTTGCTTCTCTGGGAAAGTTATCAAAAAGTATATTTAAGTTTTAATAAACTACGATTTCCACTCCAGTTTGAATCCAGAGGGACAAATACCCAGTGAAAGAAGACTTCTCTCTCACAGTCGGGAAGATAATGAGATACCAAGAGAGACTTAATCCAATTTCCAGACTATTTCCTTTTCCATAGATGTTTTGAGACGCTTTCAGTTAAGTGTCAGAAGTTTCAGATGTTTCCTCCTGTGGAGGGTCATGTCACAGTCCTTCTCTGTTTCTTTTGCCTGGCAGCTGCTGGCAGATCTCAGCGTGGTCCATCCAGTCTGTGTGAATGCAGGAGCTCTTCAGTGCTGCCATCCTGCAGCCCTGGGTCATGGCCAAGGCGTGCCCTGCCTGCAGCTCTTGTGAGTGGGACAGGAGCAAAGGTCCTGGAGCCTCGAGGGTGCTCTAAAACGTGCCCTCGCTGCAGAGTCAGACCTGTGCCCAGCTCTCTCCTGCTTTGCAGTCACCTGTCTGTTTGTGCCAGACAGGCTTAGGTTGACAGGCCTGGGGATCAGAGTCTGCATCTCTGGCAGAGAGAGTTGTTAAGCTGTTCCCAAGATTTGTCCTCCAGCTTGGTGTACTCTTTGCTAAGTGTGCCTGTGAGCAGGAGGTGGGATCCTGTGGGATGCTGACCTGGACTGGACTCTTTGGCCTTGCCTGTCACTGCCACAGAGGGCCTGGCAGAGCAGCCTCTGAGGGTAGAATAAAAGTACGAGCTGTTTGCTGAATTGCCTTCTCGTGTTAGTTGGGTTTTTGGTCACCTCCAGAGGGGGTCTGTAAGGTTCATGTTACCCTCTGAACACACGGAATGGAGCAGACAAAGAACACTCTGGTAAGACAAGGTGTGATCATGCTGACCTGTGTGTGCTGCACTGAGCTGAACGCCACGATGATTTTGCCTTCTGGGCTGGATCCTGGGATCAGGTGTGTGCAGATCCACTGGAGGTTTTGCCAAATTAACTGTTTTTCAAGGGATTTTCTCTTGAGCAAAGTGCCTTAGATTTCTTTTTCTTGTGTCTGAGGAAATAAATCCACATGCCTTTGGATTTCACTGTGGGAAGAGTGGGTAAGGATGACAAAGAAGGGGGAGTTTGTTTGCAGTAGTTCCTGCCCACAGGCAAGGCCTGAGGAGCTCCAGCGGTGCCCAAAAGCAGGTGTGACCTGCATTATTCTCCATCTGTATTACTAGGTCAGAGGTAAATAAGCTGTCATTCCACTTTGCTCCCTTTGGGAAGTTTAATGCTGCATTTGCTGGAAACTTTCCAGTGGTTCCATCCTGTACTGGGATTCAGCAGATCTGGATGCAGATCCCTGCTGTGTGACAAACTGCAGGCCTGACCTTGCTGTATTTTTGCTTCATCTGTTCCCTGCTGTTGTGGGTGGAATGTTATTCCTTTGCTGTCTTACAAACCATTGTGACAGTACCTGATACAGAGCGTGTGGGTACCCCGTGACTTACAGAAGGATTGTGACTGTCCTGTGGCTCTTCTTCAGTTACACCCAGAGAGAGCAAAGAAACAGCCAGCCTGTATGAAATGCATCTCCTGTGCTGCTTGGTGACAGGGCTCACCACCCTGCTGCAGCCTGGTAAACCAGATCGGCTTTGCCGCTTTCCAGGGCAAACCCAGAGGATGTGGGAGGGAGCCAGAGAACAAGCACTAGTTTTTCTGCAGCAAGGGCATCTCTGAGCACAATGAGAGCCTGACAGAGGCTGCTGCTGAGAATGTGCATCCTGTTCACAACAGCAGCTGGTGTTCTGTTGGTGCACGAGTCAAAGGTGCTGCCTTGCAGGCAGGTGCAGAGAAGTGGTGCCACGTGTTGTGGTCTCCGTGGTTTGTCTCCTTAATGTGGTTGGTGTCAGAGCTGTCGCTTTGTTTAGGTGGCAGCTTCAAGCTCTAAAGATCTGCTTTGTCTTGTCCCTTCACCAGCACACCCAAGTGGTCACTCTCCTGTGCCTTGTGTGCCCATCCCAGCATTTTGGGCAGAGTGGGCATCAGCATGTCATTTCAGTGGCAGCTGCTCCGTCGGCCTTACAGTGGTAACCAGGGTTCCATAAGCAAAGGCTACCACAGCATGGAGGGCCCAAGAACCACTGTCTGTGAGCAAACTGCTGCCTGGGGAGGAAGGGGTCTTGGTCACATTAAATATTTACTCTGGGTTCAGCTTGCTTTAAAGGGCCACATAAGTATCTCACACTCCATCCTTTCTTTTGTGCCAGCTGGGATGTTCTGAGATCATCCTGTCCATGAGAGGGAGCGTCAGGACACATGGCAGGAATTCTCAGCTCCCAGGCTGGAAGTTGTAGCATGGCAAGGAAGAGTTTGCCATATAAATATCCAACAGGTGTGGTGAGAAACTGAGGCACGGCAAAGGAAGGGCTCAGATGCTCTCAGTGGCAGATCTGGCAATTGAGCTGTAGCTGTACTGGTTCCTCCCTTGACTGGTTCTTTAAATAGTGTACATCCCAGCTGTTCCTTGGAAGGCTGATAGTGCCTCAAGAGCAGGAAGCAGTGGTGGTTATTCTTTGGTGGGGAGTGTGACCAGAGAGATGTTCAGTTTTGAGAGCCTCGGTGTTGGGATGTACCAGGAGGGTAATTTTCGCAGTTGGTGTTCCTGGCACAGCCACTGCTGCAGGACCTGTGGCACACAAGTGGCAGATTGTTTGGAGAAAGGGAGTGGTGAAGAAACCAGCACATGAAGCTCAGCTAGAGAAGATGATCCTTGAGAAAGGGTGTGTTAAAGTGAAGCTGAGGTTTAGGAGGGATGGCCTGTGCTGCCACATTCCTGCCCTGGCACTCTGAAATCACAGCACAGGTGTGGGGCTGAGTGTCTGTAAGGTGCAGGCTGTGTATGGGAGGCAAACTGAGCATTTCTGCTCAGTGTCTGCACTTCAGCGAGTGAGTAAAGCCCCTTCTCCAATGTGGATGTTTTCCTGGTGGACCACGGATTCTGGGCAAGGAACAGTGGACAGAGCACAGGACTGAGGAGCTCTACTGACTGAGAGCAGAGCACTGTTAGGGTGTGTCACAGAGGTGCCACTGGCCTGAGCTCCTATAAACCCAGTTTCTGTAAAAGTTGTGAGTGCAGGGGAGGCAGAACTCTGCTTCTAGTGGGATGTCTTCAGCAATTCTTACGTGGAAGATTTTGATTTCCAGTTTATGCCAGCTGCTGTCTATAGTTTTAGCTACCCACCTGTTTGTTCTTCCTCTCTTGGTGGTTAGCTTGTCTCTGTGTTTTGTGCACACACACAACCTGCCCCTCAGCTTGGCAGCACGGTGCCCAGTGCCATGGAGGCCTTACCTGGCAGCCTGAGCTGCTGCCAGAGCTGCAGTACCCAGCAGTGCTGGCAGGAGAGTGACTTCTGCCATCAACATCCTCACTGTTGTAACTGGAATACACATCTCAGACTGTCTGGAATGTGAACACAGTTGCTTGGGTTGTTGAAAAAGGCTTGAATTGTAAAATTCCTGGCCTGGAATTTGGCTGATGATTAATTACTTAGGTTTGCATAGTGCTTTGATGTTCCAGCTGTAAATCCAGAGCAAGCTGTTACAGCTCTGTTGACCTCAGTGGAGTCATCCCAGCCATTCCAGTTGGCACACCTGGTGCTGTGTGGTATTTGTATTCTGTGGAAGAACCGTCCAGTGATTGATTTAAGCCTTTCCAGGGACTGGAGGCTGTTATAAGCTGATAAATCTTTCCTCCTTTCCTGTATTGCTCTGCCACTTACCCAGGACTGACCTGCTTGCCATGCTTTGACTTTGAGCTTGCTGCTTCTCTGGAGTCCTTCTCTGAGCCTTTGCAGTCTGTGGTGTGTTTTCATTGCCACAGAGCTTAGAAACTCCTCGCAGGTTGCTCCATCTCTAAATTTTTACTACTCTATTCCCCTGCCAGTATCTTGTTGTGTAACTCTGCCCTTGCCAATCTTGTTGGCTTGCATGGATAAAATTATTTATTGTAGATAATTTAGAGTGAGCTTGTGACAGAGAAAAATCTACTCCAAAAGGCAGTTTAGTCTTGCATCGCCCTTGGTGCGCTGTTGCAGCTGATGGGATTTGCTGGGTGGGGTCCTGGTGCTGCCATGTGCTCTCTGTGCTTGAGAAGAGCTGATTAAGATCGTGCTTCACTCAAACAAGGCTTCTTCATTTTATGTGTATAAGCAGTGGGCACTCAGGCTGAAAGTAGATTTTGTACTTCAGCATCCAGGTCAGTGAGTTTTTTGTCTTGTCTGTGTCAGCAGACAGTAACCCTTTGTTCAGCAGCACAGCTTTTTCCACCTCAGCAACACACACACACACACACACACGATTGAGAGTAAAAATCTTGTCTTTGGAGAGGTGATCTGTGTAACTTGTGAAAGCTGGATAATCTAATAAAATTGGTCTAGTATTAAATATGTTATTGAACGTAGTAATTAAGTAATTTTGTTACTAAGTAGGGCTGGGATTAAGGCCAGGGTAGGTCATGAGCACAAAAATTAGAAGATGAAGGCATCCAGAGGAATGCCCCGTAACCTGTTGGTGTCCTGATCGCAGAATAACTGCTTGGAATTCCATCTTTGCCATGGTTGGTGCTTGCTGGAACCTTCCCCTGCTGGTGCAGTGTCTGGAAAGGCAGGAGGGGAGGCCCCATCCCTCTCTGATGGTGCTGTCTTTTCCTGAGCCCTTCAGGAACGTGTGGGCACTGGCCAGTGGAGCCTTGAGCATGGATATCGTTGTACATCCCACACAGGGGTGTGACACTTCTCGAGGCTGACCTGCTGCTTTCTGCAGACAGTGGGCAGAAGAGTGAAGGGAACCCCCTGCCTGCTTGCCCAGCAAGGCTCTGCTCAGCCTGGAGCCAGCTGTGCCTGACCTTCTCTAACCTCTCTTTGTGCTGTGCATCCCTGCAGAATTCCCTCCATCCAGATCATCTTGGACTTTGTTCCTAGCAAAAAATGCTACTCGGGCTTCTTGGAATTAAGATACAGCCCAACTCAGAATTGCTGTTTCCTGGGAAGTTCTGACACTCTAAAGCTTGTTCTGCAAATTTTTTTTCCCTTTAATCAGAATGAAATCATTTTCAAAATTTCCTATGAGGACACTGTGTCCCAGATTTTGAGTTTTAGAAATGTTCTGCTCTGGGATTTCTGAATTTTTGCTTTGAGTTACATCCATTTTAAGTTGTACTGCTTATGTTTCCTGCTGATCTGTTAAGTGAAACCCAGTAGCAGGTCACAGTATGTATATTATATAAGAAAATAGTAGTTAGGTACCTTTTTTTTTTTTTTTTTTAATCAGTAGGAACAACTGCTGCTTATTATCAGTGAAACATCTTATCTTATTTGCTAGAACAAGAACTCCCTTGTTTGCAATGTAATGAGAGTCTGGCACTGCCATTCCAACACCAGGCAATGCCTCAGTCTGGAAAACTGGGTAACATTTTGTTATGGAGTAACAAATGTGACTGATTTGTCTTAATGATCTGAAAAGTAATAAAATATTTCACTGCTTTTTCCATGTTAGGGCAAGGCAATAACCACGCATGTGGGATAAAAACCTCTTGTGATAAAATTTGGATGTTCTGGAATAGAGCTTCTGAAGTGCCAGAAGCAAAGCTGTTCCAAGGAGCTTTGGCAGGAACTTTTATCAAAACCAATGCTCTTTCAAAAACAAATTAAAGGAAAGGTCTGTTCTTAAAAGAAATTCTTCCCAAGAGGCTGTTTTGTTGTTTTGCTGGTGCTTTTCTGCTGGCTGTCCTTCTGTCCCAGCAAAGGCACTCTTCGTTACGCTCCTGAGTGTTCTGGTAGAGAAGACCTGGATGTTCTCACCAGGACTGAAACCCAAGTCTCCACAGTGAAAGTCCTCAAAATCCCTTTGTTGCCCCAGCTGCCCTTCCCTGGCTCTGCACTGCTTTTGTTGTGCTTGTAGCACATCATGTCAGGGGTGAGGTAATTCCTCCTCTCCTGCTGTTCAGGCAGCTGCTGTCCCTCCTGCCCCTCGCAGGGAAGGGACAGCGTGCTCTCCCTGTTGGACCTCTGCCATGGAGCCTCCCTCCACGTGGGGGGAATGCCAAGTGTTTGGTGTGTCTTGTTTCTCTTCTCCAAGGTGTTGCCCAAACAACCAACACAAATAAGTTCCAAAAAAACCGCCCAGGATGTCCTGAGCAGGGAAGATGCCTTGAATGCCTGGGATGGCACAAAAGCAATGGAGCCAAAGCTTCCTTTCCTGTCCTGCTTTGCACTGAAATGGGGTGTCTGGTGGGTGGGCCTTGGCTACTGTTGTGGAGGAAGGTGTTCCTGTGGCTACCTCTCAGCATTCACCACTGCTGGGACTCCACAGTCTAGGGAATCAAATTCCAGTGTGGATCACAGCACAGATGAAGAACTTACCACTCTTAAATTAAATCCATGCAGCTCTTACACCGTATAGTTAAAAGGAAAAAAGAACTGGTAGTACAGAAGCAGCTTGCTAAGCAAACATGTTCAGTTTGGGAATGGCATCCACCATGGAGGAGCAGATCTGGGTGTGACATGGCAAAGGCTGCAGTGACAATGGGATTTATTTTCATGGGAGTCAATACACAATCCAGCCATCAACAGTTCTAGGCTGTGAAGTACCCCAGCAGAGAGCACGGGTCAGCAGGGTGCTGCTGGAACTGCTCTGCCCTTGGCAAGGCACAGCTGTTGTGTGTTCACCACACTCCACTGATTTAAAGCCTTCCTTTGTCCTTCTCTTAATAGTATCAGGGACAGAAACTCGTACCTGACAGGGAGGGCTGAGCTCTCAGGAAGTCAGAAATGAAGGCGCTGGCAGCTTTGCTGCAGATGCGGAGATGGGAAGATGAGGGACAGGTTTTGAGGAGTGTAGAACAAGCAGGTTTATGGATTGGTTTGTGCTGTGTGACCTTAATGCCAGTATTACTGCAAGGATCTGGGAGCAGTGCAGACAGGGTGTGAGGGCAGTTTCTGGATCCATGCCACTGGAATAGCACTGGACAAGTTCCCATGGGTGTGCTCCTCTGAATTTTATTTCTTGTAGATAAGAAATGTCCCCACTCGCCCCAATTCACAGAATTAGATTAAGGAACAGAAGAACAGAAGAATTCTTTATTCCCTAGGCTAAGATCTGGATTTAGCTATGTCCAAATTGATTCTTTATGCAAGTATGGAAATGCCTTTGCTTGTCCTTAAGTGTTGTTCTGTGTGCCATTGTTCCCGGTCTGGGTTTACACTGGAGGAGGATCTCTGAAGGGCAGAGGCTGGGATCTGGCAGACAGTGTGCCTGTACACAGCACTAGGGACCACAGGGAAACACCAGTGGTAGGAAATCAGCAGGAATTTTTCCCATGAGCAGGGAACTGGTGTTTCATTAGCAGGGAAGCCTGATGGGAACTGACTTCTGTTAGGAGAAGGATGTTCATGGCAGCAGAGGAGGTTCAGTGGATGTATCTGAAGGGGCTGTTTGGCTGCATTTTAGAGCTTGGGGGGTCTAGTTAAGGGCTGTGCACTTCTGAGTAGGGCAGGTCTAAGGTTTGAGGGCCTGAGGGAGGCTCTGTCCTTCTGTCACCACTGCCTGAGCCAGGGAAGATCCAGGGTTGAGCAGCAGAGTCTGTGGTGTTTGGAAGAGTCTGCCATCAAGGCAAGGAGGCCCAGGATCAGGAGGATCAGGATCTGTGGGAGTTTGTTTGTTTTAAAGGCTGAGGAGCAGAGCAGTGTGACTGGTCCTGCAGTGTATGTGGGACTGGGTGCTGGCACCAGCTCTCACCCCGTGTGTCCCCAGCCAGCCTGGGAATGCTGTGTGAGGAGCTGGCAGGTGGGAGGGGAGGGAATGAGCCGAGTGCTGAGGCGGCTGCTGGAGGCATCAGAGGGACTTGGTCTGCGATGGGAACGGGTGGTGAAGGTGTGTCAGGGCTGACATGGTTGCAGGATGGTTTCAGGGAGACAGTCCTGCTACAAACAGGGAGGTTTGAAACCAAGACACAAGAGGGTGCCAAGAACTCTGTGCGTGGTTCAGCCCAAAAAATGGGCTTGTGCAGGGGCAGGTCCAGAATGGGGCTGGGAGGATGAAAAGGGACAGAAAGCTTGGCAGGTGAGGGGAAACCAAAAGAGGTAAGTTTGTTCTGCCTAGCAACACAAAGCCTGGGAGGGAATGTGAAGTCTCTCTGTAAACACTTCATTGGCAAGTAGGTACTAGAGGAGAAGAGAAGTTCTTTAGAATAAAGATCAATGCTAGCACAAGGACAAAGTGGTGCAAATTTGCTATTAATAAACTTAGCCTGGAAATCAGATTTTCAACCACTGGAGTGAGATTCTGGAGCAGTGTCTCAAAGGGAGAAATGAAAACCAAAGGAGCTTTGTAAAGAAGCCTGAGGAGTCCGCAGTAGCAAGTTAAATCTTGACACAGTCTCATTTCCTTTTATGCGTGGAGAGGCCATTGACAGCCTGACCCACCAGCCCAGGCAGGAGCAGGGGAAGCAGCAGTGAGCAGCTGTAATGGAAAATCAATAGCCAAGGTACAAATCAGCTACAGGAGGTGGGGAGTTTCAGGATAGCTCAGCTGTGCAGATATCCACCTTTGGCTGTATCTCGTGTTTAAAAACAGACTTGGCCAAATTTACTGAGTGTAGAGCCTTTTCACACCATGTTTTAGAATCAAAACTTGCACAGTAGGATTCTGTGCTAACTCTTCCCTCCCACTTCCAGCTGCTGCCATTTCCTGCTCCATTCAGGCACGGATCTGCATTGTGACTGTAGTAGGGTGACTTTGTCTCCGTGCCCCTAATTCCTCATAAAAGATTAGGACGTGTCTTAGTACCTGTTTTGAGGAACTCAATAGCTCACCTATAGGACAAGTCTGAACTTTTCAGACAAGAAAATGAGAGAAAATTGCAAACAGATGAGCAAAAAACCAGCCAGGTAAAACAAGAACTTCAGCCCTCGGTGGTGGTGTGTAGAAAGGTACTCCCAGGAACGGCAGTTCCTTGGAATTGGGATGAAGAACCCAAGAACCAAGCAAAAAGGGAAGATGCATTTGGAATGAAATAAGGAGTAGCAGGGCAGCACAGCAAGTACTTTTTTCAGCTCCTACTCAGACCTGAGCATTCAGGGCAAAGAGAGTTTGCTTCCTATTCCTTCTGGCTGCAGACCTGGAGAGCACCAGAGGTACATGGCAGAAAACTGGAGGAGCATTATTGCCCATCTGAAGAAAAAACCTGCTGCTGCTTTGAATTTTGCCACAATATCCATGGTGTAAATCTGGGTTTCTGTGCATCGTTTTTCTCTTACCAATAGACTTCACATATTTGTCCCCCAGCAGGGTCCTGCCTTGGCAGTAAAGGCAAGCAGAGCTTTGGAAAGTTGCCATTAATTGATGGAGTCAATGCATTGGAGGGATAAAGTGAATATGGAACCTGCATTTTCT